TTTAATTGCACATTGTAATTGCATTGTTGTGTTGCTTTGCTTTTTTCAGCTTCTCCAGGATTTGATCTCTCCAGTTGGTGGCTCTTCTTGTTGAGATCTAATTTAGGCCATTATTTACTGACTTTATTACATTATGCCTTTCATGCAATATGAATATTTATTCAAGAACCAAAGAAAGCAGGGAGGAAGCAAAATAAAACTAATGATCTGCACTGAAGCTCAAGTATCGTAGTGCGTATAAGTCGCATCTTTTTGCATAAATGTGCAACTCCTGCGACTTACACACCAAAGTGACTAATATACGTTTTTTTTTTCTCCCCTATATTTATAACCCCATTTTTGTCTGAAATCTGACGATTTCATTCATTCTGACATGAAAAATATTAAACATTACCATTTGTAGCCACTAGCGGATGCTCGAGCTTTATGGAAAGCCAAGTGTCTCATTAATAGGTAAAAATGACCATTAATGAGACACTTAGCTTGCCATATAGTGCCACCTTCATCTCGCTCCAGAACTCCTGGAGCAAACGTCAAATCAGCTTCATTTCTCCGCGTCGCCCAGGTGAAATGCAGCTGATTTGACCATTAAAGGGAATTTATTAAGGAAAAGTTCAACTGAGACACACCTTTACTATAATGCTGAGCAAAACAAATAATTGTTTTTAGATGGCAATCTTGTTAAATGTCAAAGAAATGCACAGCGAGTCCTCCCTCTGCTTGCTCCAGCAGCCGCATATCGATATTTGAAATGCAGCTGATTTTACCATTAAAGTGCATTTATTAAGAAAAAGTTCAACTGAGACACAACTTTGCTATAATGTCAAGTAAACAAATAAGTTTTTAAGTGTTAATCTTGTTAAATTCTTGTTAAAGTCCTCCTGTGCGCACTCCCGTAATCGATTTTTGGCACAACACCGGCCCACATTTCTGAGTGGTCAGTGGTGACGCATAATTTTTTTTTTTTTTTTCATTTAGCCTTTATTTATCCAGGTTAGTCTCATTGAGCCGCGAGAACTCATTTTCAAGAGAGACCTGTTTAGGGAGCACATGGTGGGGTTAAGGGCCTTGCTCATGGGCCCAGAGTGGGGCGAATGAGGGTGGGGACAAGTGTGGGTGTTTCACCTACCCCACCCACAATTTTGATGTTGTCAGGGCCGGGGCGTGAACCGGCGATCTTCGGACTTAAAAGGCGAAGCGACTTATTTGTGTTTTTTTCCACTTTATTGAACACTTTTGAACTGATGCGACTTATACGTCGAAGCGACTTGTACGGCGGAAATTACGGAACATTGGGAGATGGGAATGTCTTTTGCTAATCATGCTTTGGTTAAGAATATTGATCAGAAAAATGGACAAATAATAATTTTTAACATTGTTCAGAGTATCACAAGATGGTACAGCATACTGAGTTATGAAACAATGTCCTGGAGGGATTAATTTTGTAAACATTTTGTAATCTCTAACATCTGTTTAAGAAGTACGCTTGCCACTTTCATTCTAATGACAGACGAGGAGGGACTTATTAATTTTCCCAATCTGCTTCAAAGGGAATTAAAACCTTTTCAGTTGTGCAGATAGGGGTCCATCCCATTAATCAAACCAGTGAAAAACAAAAAAGTAGACGCAATGTTGTTAATGGGAAATATGTTAAGATGCTGGAAAGTTTTGTTTTGCATCTGCTTCTGTGTCAAAATGAGGCAACGCATACTCTCAAGGAAAACATGTTTTTGTTGATAGTAATTGTTATACTTGCATTTACATCATACAATCTCAGGAGAAGCTGCTATGAAGAAAAACCTGGCAGACTGCCTATGAAATCATGCTTTTTCTCAGAAACATAGGGTTATACTCTGTGGGTGGCATCTAAGTCCATTTTAAAAGTTGAAACTGAAAACTGCTCTCAGGAAATCAGTTTCAGTTTCCAGTTTTTATGCTTTTTACTTTAACGGCTTATAAAATTGTTGTGCTCACAGCAAGAGATGTAATTTTGCAGCTTCTGTTGTAATACAAAGTACTAAATGAGTACACATTGCCACCTAGTGTAGTAAAATAAATAATGTTCTCACACAGACTAAAATAAGATTGATAGCCAGATGGAGTTATGGCATGTTAGCCAGAATTATAGCTACACGGTTTTTGTCTTGACAAGAAATACTAATAAAAATAAGAATAATTAGAAAATCACAACAATTTTAGAAATGAGGAGCTGAGACATTGGTTGAATAAATGCTTTTCTATAATTTATTTGTAAGGATCAATAGTTTTGTCTATATTCCTGCAATTATACTTTCCTTAAATTTGCATAATAGATCATTAATAAATTCATAATTTACTAGGTACCTTGAAAAAAAAAGTTTCACTGGCAACATTGCCAAAAATGTCTAGCAACTCGTATTGCATTGTATCATATTGTAGCCTATGTCAGGGGATTTTGGGTCAAGGTTTACGGATGTTTATCACCAACTAATGTTAAATTAATGTTGAACCATGTGTGTGAGTTACCAGAGAGTTCTTCTCTTTCAGAGAAGAACTGATTTGATCTTGCATGTACAGCTGGGAGGCAGAGGTCATCAGTGACTGTCTGTAAGGGCTGATAAGCATGAATATAAACAATGCTCGCACACTGCCCGGTGCAGATCCTCACGATCGGGATCCAATGATATTCAACTAAACTGCTCAGAGGGGCACTGTTACTGAAAGCCAAGAGCTCAGGAGTCAGAAGCAATGTCATTTATTAATCTTGTTTTACAGTTTAAAATCTACTTTTATTTAAAAATGAACCCACTGGCGGACCGAACTGAGCTCACCAGTGCCTGATTTGGCCGCCGGGCCACCAGTTGAATAGCTCAGGTGTAGAGCTGTAATGCATCTGTGTAAACCTGTGAGTGAAAGTCTGACCTTGCTAGTAAAACTAGTTGAAATATCTTCTCATGAAATCGAGTGTGGCTGCTTTCGGTAAGTAAGATGAACAGAGGATATTTTTATCCAACATCATATTAGTACATATAATGCACAGGGTACATTGATTAAAAAGATCTTGCAAACATGTTTTTTGCTCCATGCCCAACATAGAATAAACACGGGTTTATATGCTCTGCTCTGTGACACTTCGGGAGCTGGTAGTTAAGTTTCAAGTATTTTTATTGTCAACCTCTTAACAATCTCATCAGAAACCCAAAACAGAACATAACTTTATGAATGAAATACATTCTCAAATATGTCTAAAATATGGCCAGAAGTTCTAGCAGGTCTACAGGATACATGAATAACCAAACGTTTTCGACATGGTTGACAAAAATGTGTTCGTTACACTCATTTAATATATAGTTTTAGACATTCCTCTGGAACTACTGTTATTTATTACTGACAAGAAAACAAGTGTCAAAATCTACAGGGGTAATTATCCTCAGGATTAGATCCTCCTGTGAGCTGAAGATGAAAATCGGTGTTAACAAAATCTACGTCTCTAAAGTGACTGAGTCTAAGAAATAGTTCATTCTCAAGACCACAAATAAAACTTGTGCCGACTGCAAGTCAACAGGAGGCTATGTATTGTGTTCGCAGAAGAACAGTTTGAAGAAGTGTTGAAAATATAAGAATTATTCTTGACTTGGAAAAAAAATATCCCTGTCAACAAGTTTTCTAATATCCCTAAGGTCTGTTTGCTTACAAATTAGATCCCACAGTCACTTAAAATTAAATGTGAGAATTTCATATATTAAAAAATATATATTTCAAGCCTTTTTGGAAGTTTTATGCAATCTAACGATTTTTAAGCCTAAAATGTTCTTAGTTTACATATTGTAAGCCATATTTTTTTTATGAATTTAAGAAAAACATGTCCAATAAAAAAGCATTATACATACATTTTTATTATCTTACCACCCTCCTCGCAACATAAAACTGGTATAGGAAGCTATAAAAAAGTGGAGTGGATAAGGCCCCCAGGCAGAACACGAGAGACTTCTCAGCAAGTACAATAAAATGCTTTAAGTTAGTTCCTCTCTGGTCATTCCTGATCTGTTGCTATGGTAATGCTGGCATTATATTTTTTGGCCCAAACATGTATGGACTCTACATTTTCTGCAAGCTTGACCACTGTCATTTGCTATTGTACATTCTCAGTATTGCAGAGGTGTGTGTCTATCATTTTCCTTCTTGTCCACTTTACTTCATAATTGCTCTGTTTATGTTAACTGTTAATGACCCATTGAGATAAATGAACGCCCCCTGGTGCAGACATTTATTGCGTTTCCAGACATTAGTGTATCTTTGCTTTGCTTCAACTCTATTATCATATTCAATGTGTCTGAAAAAGGACTAAGTCAAAATCAATGTTTTCAAAAAGGTTGTGAGATCCTGATGATAGGGCTGCCTGGTCGATGGTGGTCTAATGCCTGCACAGAAATAAATTTAATATTTTACTATATTAAATATAATATTTCAAAGAAATCCCCCAAAACTTCAGCACTGACATATTGCCTTGTTTTATATGTTTTTATCATCTGTATGTGTGTCAAATATTTGCATTATATTTCCTAGAAAGTACAAGTTTTTTTATTGTTGTCTTTATAAACCTGTTTTATGAATGAACTGTGTGGAAAAATGTCAAATTTATAGGGTTGAGCAGTAGCACTTCTTTTTCAGTTTAGTTACTGATCAGTGCATTTTAATGCCCTTGTAGTGTCTGACAGGATTGGACCAACAATTTCCTCATAGCTCATTGATAAAATTACAATTTTTTTATTTGGTGTTTTTCATTTGATGTTTTGTCCTTTCAAAAACATCTAACATTCACAAGAAATTGAACAAAAATACTCACATACTTTCTAAATTGTTCACGTTTTTTCCAGTTAAAAAACATAAAAAAGAACATGGAATTGGGTTTCTAGTATAAAAACAGGCAAGTCATGCCGTCAGTCCTCTTCATTAGATCGGATAAAAGTAGGTCTTGCACCTTGATGTTGCGCTCTTCTTGAGAACCTGGGGAGAACGCATCAGTACTCCCAGAGGCACGATGCATCAAGAGACGCACCATCACACATAAGCGTGCCTCCCTGGTCGCCACGAAGATACTTGCCATTGGAGCCCTTGATGGCGATGCGTCCATGTTCTGGAAACTCTAGAAAAAAGTCCTCTGACTTTTCCCCGTCTGAGTTCGCAAGGCCACTGCTTGAGACGTACCAAAACTTTCCATTCACGCCTGTAGACAGAAATCAGTAGGTTATATTTTAATTATTTGTTCAAATAAAGTCAGATAAAATGTATATACTGTATTTACCCTTTTGATAATATGATAAAATGACCGTCATGGTAAAATAAAATGCACACCTCCAAATTTTAAGGTTTCAGGATAAATTAAAACACAGATGAACAATATTGCAATGCATATGACACTGTGACTCTATTTATTTACCAAAACTAAGCCAAAAGGCAAAGGCTGCATGTGGGAAAACCCCATACCACTTTATTGTAAATTCAGAGTCATTAATAGACAAAAATACCACTCAAATTAATCCAATTAACATATCGTTGGTAAGCGTGATAGTGTAGCTACTCTTCAGTCTGAGTAATGAAAGTATTTCCAAACATGAAGTCTGCCACTTGTTCATGAGAAAAGTTTATTTGAAAATAAATATAGACAGAAAATATCAAAGTGAAAGTGACTGCTAATGTGTACAGGGCACAGTATTTCAGCATAAAAACCTTGTGTTAACTGTTGAGCACAGAGGTGGAAATGTCATGATCTGGGCTTGATTTTCAGCCACAGAACCTGGGCACATTATTAGGTTTTTATGCAAAACTGTTCTATGGTCAGGCCTCATCTGGCTGTCCACAAATGCACCGAGTCAGCCACAGTCCACAACAGAGTGAGTTGATATAAAAGCAGCCTATCACAGAGCCACAGGAGGTGCATCACATGTTGAAACGGCTAGCTATACATAAAATAGGTGCTGGACATCTCATATTAAATTCCACAGCTGGCTGGTCCCACACACTGCTTGTCATCAATACAGCGCACCCTCAAGCTTCATTGTCTTCCTACTCATACGCATACTGTCCATTTTGGCTCTATGACTACCGCCCATTAGTGGCTCACTGTGGTAGGACAACTTCAGCCTCCTTCAACGTTATACAAATCACACCAAGACAGGAAGAAGGCCGGCTCAAGTTGAAAGAGTTTCCTGAAAGGGGCACATGAGTCAGCCACGAATCCCTCTGCAAACTAAAGTATCATTGTGAAATATGAGACCATCTGCCTGATGGTTGAAGCATAGCCAAAACTGGTCCACACAGCAGGGCAATGGTCTGAAACATATACCAGTAGCTGCAAATCCAAAATAAAACGCCTCAGAAAGTAAGGTGTTTAATGACCCAGTCGAAATCCAGACCTGAATATAAAAGAAGTGCAGGGATAGGGTCATCCAGAAAATGAAAGTTGACTCCATAGACAAATCATTTTCCACATGCTTCAGTATTTTGGCTCACCTTTACTTAAAATAAATACAACCTGTCACATATTGTCATTCATCTAAGGTTTGAACTTAAACAAATTATCTATTTACACCAATACAATAAAATCCAGTTTCCCCCCCCTTTTTTTTACACTGACTGCACATGTTAAAGAGCATGCAAGAAAACTCAGACTCTGACTTTTTATGTTGTAGGCTCCGTTGTTGAAGATCAATGTGAAGATGTCATAGACTGATCGATTGACATCCAGAGTGTTGGCGTTCTTGTGGTGACACACAAAGCCGTTCTCCCCACGGAGGATCAGCATCGGGCGGTTAATGAGTTTCATCAGGAATAATTCGTCATCACCTGGAATGATTGATAGATGCTCACTGTGCACGTACGGGCGGATACAAAAGTGATTGCAGCAACAGTTTCAGACAAACACTGTTTTGAATCTCAAGCGAGTCGCCTAAAAGCACTTACCCACTGCGTCGCTGACTGCTGAGAGCTGCCCATTTTTCTTTGTGCACACATATTTCCCATTACTTGCCTTGAGTGCTACCCTGTGTCCTCGCCACTCAATGTCAAACATGGTGTTGACCTCTCTGGGAGGGAGGAGAGACATGAAAAAAGGTGGATGAAAAAACACCAACTAGATAGCTAAAGAGTAATGTTAAAATCCTTCTTTAAAGGAATGCACACTGCCATCCAGCTGAAGAAATGAGAGAGTTGTAGCTATTTTTGTCAATCTCATGTAACCTTCGTGATCTTTAGGTCAATATCTATGAAAATGACTGAGGTATAAACATTTGAGTGGTTTCTAATATCAATGGGCTGTGACAGCCATCTTGAACTGAATTAACTCGAGCTGGAAAAGAAAATAATGGACTACTTAAAGTAAGAATAACAATGTAACAACTTTATACACTTCCTGTAGTTAGTTGGTTATCACATGCTTGCACCAGGCAGGGCATCTGGCATAAAAAAATGCTAAATCAGTCATGCTCCTATTGAGTTTGTCGATTCCTACAAATATTTGTGTATTTTGGTCGATTCACATCTCTCTTCTAAGCTCCACATAGAAAACTTGGTAAGGAAACTAAAAGTTAAATTGGGTTTCTTTTTCAGAAACAGATTCTGTCTAACTCTGAATGCTAGGAAACGCCTTGTAACTGCAACTTTCCTTCCCTCCATTGATTACGGTGACATTACTTACATGAACGCTCCTACAAGCACCCTGCAGATGTTGGATGCTGTCTATCATGGTGCGCTAAGATTCAGAACTGGCTGTAACTACTGTACCTATCATTGCACCCTGTATCTGGTCATCATTACCTTCACGTAGACGCTCTCACTGGTACATTTTCATCTTTAAATCACTTTTTGGTCTGCTTCCTTCATACATCTCCTCCTACATGTCACTACGTAAGTGCAGCTACTGCGTGCGCTCTCAGGACATTATTACCTGCAGTGTTCCCTCAGTGCGAACTGAACTAGGCAAAAAGGGCCTTCTCCTACTCCGCTCCTGTTTCTTGGAACACTTTGCAAAAAAAATCTGAAGCTCTCGACCTTGACCTCTTTAAGTGGCTTAAAACATCTGTTACGTTCATGGGAAAAACCAATGCAGACATGTTCCTGATTTTAGTTTTCTTCATCGCTTTACAACCTAGCTGCTTTGTTTCATTTTTTTTAATACTGTTTTCTTTCATTTCTTCTTCTCAATTTGCTTTCTTTTATGATTGTCCACTGTTGTCATCACTCTTTGTTCAAATCAGGTCTTTCTTGTAAATGAGTCCCCGATGTTCAATGTTACTAACCTGTATAAGTAAAGCTTGAATGAAAGAATGTTTGCTAGTGCAGAAGGGAGCAGCCAAAAATAATTATCGGTAGTTGAAGAATTTGGTTCTTATGTGATAGGTGATAGGTGTCTGCTAAAGCATCGTCGTACATACATTTATTTATTATTTATTAACAAATCTTGTCTCTAATGGCCCTTAAAGCTACTTACACATCTGTGGCTGTGGACTGGATCTCCCCGTGTGTCACTAAAGTCCAGTAGGATCCTCCATTGGTCCTGAACATTGACTTTTTGCTCTCCTTATCTATCTCCATCTGGAAAGTCTCCATGTCTGTCTCCACATCCTGATTGGCCGAGATGCTCACACCTGGTAATAAAGAGGGAAAAGACATTTGTAATAATTCTGCTTTCGTTTGGAAGACTTATGTCCATTTCAATCCTGCATCCCCCGAAATGATTTTTGAATCAGATTTTGGGTCATTTAGGGTTCAAGTACCTAACTGATTCAGCACTAGTTAGATCTGTCCTGGTACTTTTGTTGTATCAAATCTTTTTGTGTTATTTACAGTGACTCATAAAGGTTTATCCATCTTCATAGGCAGCAAATAAAGTTATCAAAATACTTTATTTTAGTCAATCTTTTCTTTATGTAATGGTTTTATTTAATAAATGTTACACCCTGTTGTATACTAAACACATTATAAATAATCATTTGATAAACTTTAATTCAGATATACTTTTTGTCTATTCAATTTATGATTATATGGGTCAGCTGCTTTCCACTATTACCTTTGACCTGATCAGTCTCCAATTCCTTTAACAAGCCAGGTACATGAAAATTTACTCAAGTATGTTAACAATTAACTAAGAAGATGGTGATTTGTGGAAAAGATGGCTTCATTTAAAAAGAAACATTATGTAACAGTGTTACCTTAGATGTTCTTTTGAGCTGTTTTGTTTTGCAATTTTTTTTTCTCACAGGTCTATTATGCACAGTTTGATGACACCTAGTGGTTCAAATTACTGACATCCATTTCTCCGTTCATTTTTTTCCACGGCTTTTCCTTTCCAAGCTGTGGGCTGATGGCTATTTCCAGAAATCACTGTGCGAGAGGTGGAGGTGGTCTCATGTCCATCACAGGGACACATAGAGACAAACAAAGCACACAATCGTTCACTCGCTCACTCATATCTAGAGACAATTTACCAGTTACCATGCATGTTTTTGGTCTATGGGAGGAAACTGGACCACGTTTCCACTGAGAGAACATGCAAACTGCACGGAGAAAGGCCCCAGGCCAGGAGGCGGCCCTGCAATCTTCTAGTTGCGAGGCAACATCTCTAACCGCTGCCGTGCTGACCCATACATATTTAGATATATACTGCTTAAGGATGTAAAAGAAGCATAATTTTATCTAAAAATAATTGTATTTTAACTATCATTTATGTTGCATATTTCCCAAGAGATCTCACTAAATGTTATCCAAATTAAAGCATAAAATAAAGCTTATGAGGGAAAATCTTGTTTGCTGGATTACAAGGAAAACAAATTAGACCGATATGGAGATTTTATTGTAACTATTTTTAGAGGTTGGGATGATTTTGCCTCATGTCTTTTACTTCAAAAACATAATTGGAGTTGTTGTTTTTATTTTCTGAGTTTAGAAAGACTGAATGAGCAAACATAATTTAAATAAATGTTCAGTAGCTGTCTGTAGTAAATTCCATTTCATAAACTTGTCATTTGTTTTGCATTCAGAAAGACTTGCACAGTTTAGCCAATACAAAACTGTGCCATTGTTTAGTCGTTCCTGCTCTTTAAACTCAAATATCTTGCGTTCAGTGTTGCTTACTTAATCCACATGTCTAAACTGTGGTTGTTGGGGTGTGTCAGCTGCTGTGATTACACAGACACATTGCCTGTAATTGAACTGTGTCTGCTCTAGTTTAATTTAGGTGCCACCGAAATATCCTTCAACCTTTCTCTTAATCCTGTTACAACGCTAATCCCCCCTCAGTCACCTCCTCCACCCTTCCTGCTCATTCGCACGCTGTAATTCCCTGAGTGGTGAAATGCAAATCTGCACTGCAGGGCCCACTAAGCAGCTTTCGGTGCCCCGGCCTTTAAAAAACACAGAGCCGCTACGAGCTCTAACACTTCAGTTGAAAAAAAATATTGCTTTTGTCTTGTTTATTAAAGGTAGAGCAACCGTTTAATGAACTGTTCTGTTTTTAGAAAAAAATTATTCACGCAAATGCAAAAAACATGAAATAAAATGTTAAGTTTACAAATATAAAAGGAAAGCCATGGTTTAATTACGCTTGGTGGGTTTGAAAAAACAAAAACATGCTCCAATTGTTTTCACACAACACAACTGAACTCAGCTTAACAGATGACACAATGTCATCCAAGCCTAACCTGCTGCACATCCTTTCCAGCCTGATCCCTCCCTGTCACTGATTTGTCTAAATAAACCTGCTGCTGCTTTATTACCACGTTAGCTGACTTTATGAGAATTTCACTTGATGGGCGACTGTAAAGTGCAAGTCGCTGCAAGAATTAAAGCCCATCGGTGGTAAGTGACACCACTGCAGCATAGTCTGCCCTGGAGTCGTGTGCACACTACTTAATCTTTAAAGGACACACAGTGAAAATGACAAAGCCCATTACCACAATGACCTCTACAATATGGCCACTGACATTCTGGATCCAACGTGTAGAATAAAAGCTGAGTTAGCTTCCAGATTTGCTATTTTGATTCCTGCTGTGTGACTGCAAAGAAGCTCCTTAAAGAACTATATAAATAATATGTATAACACATGACTATATTAAAACTGATAATATTCACAGAGCTTAATGGTGGTTCTTCTCCATTTCTATGTGTAAAAAGGCTCATCATGATGTACAAATTATTAATTTTATTGAAGCTAGACTATTAGCTCACCCTCAAATCAAAATCTGCAAATTCAATGTCTTTAAATTGCCTAGTGATTACATTTGTAATGACATTTCCCAAATTTAGAAATTAAAGTGGATTATTATTGGCTATCATCTGAAATTTAAAAAAAAGAAACATGCACCCATTGGGAATGGCTTTTGCATAATTTTTTTTTTAACTTCTAAAGAAATGAGAATACCTTCACTGACTCAAAATTTATTAAAAGTGCTCAAAAATGTATGTCTGCTGCAATAAGTAATATCATTTTGTCAGTTTTTAAGTGTGATCTTTAAAGTTTTCTGTTTGCTTTAATGAGAATCAATCTTTGGCAATCAATCATGTAAGCATATATTTTTTGTCTCTCTATGTGTTACATGTTAAACACTTTGATCTAAACTATTTTATGTTCAAGATGTATTCAGTTACATTCATATTAGATCACATTTTAAAATTTAGTTACCCATTTTAAAAAGTTGACAACTTGCAAAAACATAAAAATGTATTATATCTCTTTATATATGTTAAATATAATTTTAGATTAGCCTGTCAGGGCGGCATGGTGGCTCAGTTGGTAGAGCTGATTCCTCTAAGCAAGAAGGTCACCAGTTCAAATCATGGCCTAGGGCTTTTCTGTGTGGAGTTTGCATGTTCTCTCCGTGCACGGGTTTTCTCCATGTACTCCGGTTTCCTCCCACAGACCAAAAACATGCATGTTAGACTGATTGGTAACTGTAAATTGTCTCTAGGTGCGAGTGAGAATGGTTGTTTGTTTCTATGTCTCTCTGTGATGGACTGGAGACCTGTCCAGGGTGTCCCCTGCTTCTTTCACAGTGACTGCTGGGCATGGGCATCAGTGACCCCCGTGACCCAAAAAGGAAGAACCGGTTAAAGATAATGGATGTATGGATTAGCTTGTCCTTAATATACTCAGGAGTACTGTCTATTTTAATGTATTTTTATTATTACACCTGTAGATTGTCCTTGAGTGTCCTGAAAGGCACTTTTTAAATAAAATGCATTTTTATCATTATGTACTCAGAACATGTGGCATTCATTAAAAACAACAGCCAACAACAACAAAAAAATGTCTATCTAGGTTTGAACTGAACTGAACTGAAATTAATTGTATACCAACACTAAATTTGAAAGAAACCCATGTTCTGTATTACATAAATGATTTACTTGAAACTAAGTTATGATCACATGAAACTTTTCTCAAGACTACCTTCCAGTTTATTACCTTGTTTGACAGAAACAAATCTTTTATTAGCAGCTTGGAAAACTACTTGTGGGTGACTCTCCTCCAGATCAAAAAGCTCATCTTTTCCCGGCTTGGAGCATCGACCGGAGCGCAGCGTTCCTGTGGGGCCCACTGGGGTCAGATATTTCCCATCACAGTCCTTGAAGGCCAGTTTACCAGATTTTAGCTCCAGTGTGAAGCTGGTGGTGCTGTTGCTCTCCTTCACCAGTTTGCCGTCGTTGCTGAGGAACCGGCTGTCGCAGGTCTTCAGGCTGTACTTCCCATCCTGGTACACCAAGGTGACCAGAGAGTCCACCCCCCAGGGGATGTTGCTGTCCACTGAGATCTCTCCATCGGAGGCAGACAGGTGGGCATAGCGTTTGCGTGCCACACTGAGGAGGCTGGCCTGTGGGTGTAAAGCCAGATGAACAGCCCACAGCTCCTGCTCGCCAGTGGTTTGAGCAAAGCAAGACAGATAGTCAGCAGAGCCTCCGAAGTAACGCTGGTACGGTTCGGACTGCAGCGCCCAGCGACCGTCGGACTGGGGCACTATAAGGAAACGACAATCGGGGTCAGGCTTCTCTGCCCCACATGTGATCTTCCCATCTTTGTCAGAAGCAAGATAACGTCCCAAGTGACTACGGAGAAAGACGACCTGACCATCTTGTTCGTCCTGTTCCAAGGTCCAGATTTGTTTCTTCTTCAGGCTGACGCCCGAAGCGTTCACTTTGAAGCCGAAGGCCTCAGCTGTCAGGTAACGGCTTTCATAGTTAATTAGGCCAAACTGCAGCTTCAGAGCCCGGTTAATTCCGTTAGTGGGCATGCTTTGACCGGGCCGCACGTCAACACAGCAAGCAGGAAGTTTAGGACGAATAAGGGAAAGTAGGCATGAGATGGAGAACCAAAACTAAAATGATTGATATCTTCCTCTTTTGTGTCCCACAAGCTGTGAAATAAGTCCACTTATCTTCCTTGATGGATTGTTCCTTCCGTTCTCAAGCCACTTTCTCTCTTCTCCCCCGAGGGCTCACGCAAGCACTTGCTCTCAGTTCCTTAATGAGTTAGGATTAAAATCAGCAGGAGACAGCACCTCAATCCAACAAGCTGCTGACGTCACAAACCAGTGCACCAACCACGGACCTCTCCTCCCTCACTCTCCTTCTCCAGTTTACAGTCACGGCGGTTTCCATCTCTTATCTGTTTCACATCTTCATCCAGTTTGCTATCGCTTCCGAAGAATCCTCTTCTATCACCCCACCACCCCATTAACTCACTGACACACTTGTTTGTCAGCCAGTATTCTTTTCTCGCTCGTTCTCAGGTTCGTTTGTGGACCTCACTATCCAGCCCAAGGATTATCCCAGCTTTGATTTGCCATCACACCAGGATGGATGTCTAGAGAGTAAAGGTGCTTTTGTTTGCACCCCATTGCTTTTAATTTTAAAGAGGCGTTAACTACGAGTTCTTGTACTTCATATGGAGAAGATTATGTCATTATGTCTCTCATGAAGGAACCTTCAGTTTTGTTTGACTTGATGTAGAGATTAAATCTGTATTCACAAAGAAGCCTTTTCACTTCACAGTGGAGGTACAGTTTTACACATGGCTCACTTATTTAGAGTCATCTTAAACCATAAAGCAGTTAAAGGGTTTCTTTATGAAAGTTCCTGCACCAGTTAGCAACTTACAGGTCCAGTGAGACTCCCTGGCAGGAACATTACTTCAAGTCAGATTTATTTAAATGTGTCAAGACTGTGAGCTCACAGACTTCCTCTGTGAGCTAAAAGGAATTTGACTAACACAGATTTGAATGTACATTAATTTGCATTTTCTCCAATTTCACCTTGTTTGATTCTCAGTCCTACACTTTCCAATCTGTCGAAACCTTCACCTCTTGTTTTGTTAGTGCAGGTGATGGAGGATAAGACGCGATGCTTCAGTGTGACCTTTGTCACAGTGCGTGTCACCATCAACCTTTATAAGAGCATTACTTCCTTCGTTCGCAGGTTCCTAAAGACGGCGAGAGTAAATCCAGGGGCAGGGGTCTGCAACCTGTGGCTCTTTGAAGCTAACACCAACTTAGTTTATTATTTGTATACCCATAACAGAAAGGGCATATCTGTCATATTTCTGCAAATGTTTGAATGATATACATACAAGGAGCAAAACCTGTTGATTAGACTGAGCTACTTCATTTATCTTCCAGCCTTACAGTGAGCTCTTTCTCTCAAATCCACCAGAAATTCTTTGGAATACTTTTAGGACAAGTTGTTTAGAAATACAGTAATTCAATCTGATAACTACAAATGAGAAAAAAAATAGACACAATCAAAGTAAAAGTTTAAAAAAAAAAGTATTTGTTTAAAGTCACAATTACATATCTAACAAAATGGTCTTATTCTTATACATATTTTAAATTTATGTTTTGTTACTTCAAAGAGGGAAACTTTACTCTTTTCCCCCCACAAATTAAAGGTTTCAAACCTGCAGAGTTCAGCGCTTTGATTTCTATTTGCGAAATTGGCACGAACTACAGTATGTATTTTTTCCATCTTTACCTAAATATAGTATTTTCTTTTGTCCTAAAATGTTAAAGAGGAAAAAAAAGTTGTTGTTAAATTTAAGTTTTACAATCACACCCCAGAGCACAGATTATATCAGCTGCTTTAGTTCAGTTGTTGGTGCCAGATTTCATGAGGATGAAGACATACATTAGATATGCAAGTATAGAGTATTATTCATTCATTCTGACCAGCAGATGTAGCCATTGGACTCAACACCCACCAAGTTATTTTGATACTTCAGTTTCTGGGTTAAAGCTGGTTGGTTTGATCAAACTTGAGTCAAAAAGTTTGACTGAGTGGATCTCTACAGTCCACCATTTTAAGCCAGAAACTGACCAAACTGGACCTGACTGGACTTCTACTATAGAATAAGTAAAGGTGAGATGGTACAATAGCTTGGAAGATGTTTAACTTGGTTGGCTATGTTAACAACTTTAGTTTGCACAAAAAAGTCAGTTTAGGTTCCTAAAATTGCATCACTGAATGCTAGCTAGCTGATGCTAATAGTAGTTATAGTGCCGGCCACCTAGCACCCAAGTTGTCGCTATAAAATAAGGTAAATTTTGTGTTGTTCTTTTTAACTCAACCTTTTAGTAGCTCTAATTCAACAAATTTGTAATTTTTAGAAACCTGAATTGGCTTGGTTCTAATTTGGACCAGTGCCGAATCATCTGTGTTGTTTTTAACCCAGCAGCTTTTTTTCGGTCTGCCCTACATAGTTTTTCAATGCACTTAACTAAAAAACATAAAGCATTTAGTCAGGCTGACTTTTTAACCGACCAAAAACATGCATGTTAGGATGACTGGTAACTCTAAATTGTCCCCGAGTGAGAGAGCGAATGGTTGTTTGTCTCTATGTCAAGTCAAGTCAAGGTTCTTTATTGTCATTCACATCACATGCGGTACATGAGGTGGAATGAAATTGTTTACACAGGGTCCCAGTTACATCCAATAATATCAAAAATATAAAGGGTACAAAGAAACAGTAAATAAGGATCTAAGATACAAACTAAGATAAACGCTAAACGAATGCCCAGCGATACGTTAAAAGATCTGAGCTATATGCTAATCACATATTACTATTAGTGATAGCACTAATAGTGCAAAACAATACACCGAACAGAAGCAGAATGATTCTCATAAGTATGGTTCGGCTGTACCAAAGCATGCAGCAAAAACACAAAAATAAGGTGCCAAAAGTGAAAAAGAAGTAAATCTACAGCAGCATGGTCCCGCTGGCACTGTTAGCGGTGTGGTTCAGTTAGCAGCGTCCCTGTGATGGACTTTGCTCCCCAGGGTGTACCCCGCCTCTCACACAGTGACAACTGGATATGGGCACCAGTGACCCCCGTGACCCGGAAAGGAAGAAGTAAGATAATGGATGGATGGATGAATGGACTTTTTTTAACTTGTCTCTGGAAAGGCGAACAACTAAACGGCATTTAAAACATATACAATATGTGTTTGGGTCAAATACGTAGTTAAGTGTTTGTAAATGTTTTCACTAAATGGATTATCAGTTATGATAGCTGGAAAATATGTCCAGTATTATACACATTCTGAGAGACTTTGCTCAACAACAGCTGGCTGCCCTCAAGATGTTGAGGGAACACAGAGCATGTGAGATAAATAAATAAAAAAATCCTTTCCTGTGAATTTCCAGTTGCTGGAGTTTCATTTCTGGTGAGTTACAGAAATTGTTAGACACAGCTCAGAGATTCCATGGCTCAAAATTTGTGGCTTCTTCTGTGGAAAAGATCTGGCAACTTCCTGGAAGAATCCTCCAGTAAGGGCTGTTTTTCTTCAATAATAGAGATGCGGAGCAGCAAAAATGAGTCAAAGAACAAATCACAGGTTCTTACTGATGATTGAATGTTCTGCCGAAGCAATGTTCTGATTTTAATTCAACACTTCATCACAAAATATATATTCGTGTAGATTGAGTATCATGAACTATTAATGTTAATCTTGTATAACCATGTCAAAATACTGTGTTACATTTTATTAATATTTATTTAATTTAGGCTTTTGTACCAAAAACTGTCATCAACTTTGCTTAGTCGAGCTCTACATCCATGAGGTGGCAATTCTACCTCTTGTTTCCCTTTTTGCCTTAAAATGTGTTGTTTTTTCTCCAAACTGTCATCATAATTTTAATTTTGAGTATTGTTCAAAGAAAAACAGATAAACAAGCTGATTTATTACGACTTGCAATAGTTTATACTCTCATTTCTTGTGTGGAACAAAAATCAGTAAACACATGAAGCAATAGACAAACACTGTCTTAAATAACTTGTGTGTTCAACATGTAAAATATTTCTAATGATAATAATTATGAGCTTATAGCTTTAGTCTTTTAGTGTAGCAAAACTGAAACATTAATTTAAAGGTTTTCTTGGTCGCCTGAATGTCTTTTCCCATTTTTGTTTTTATGTGTTTCTTTCTTGTGATAACTAGATGGCAGCACTGCTCTGTATCAATTCTACCAGTGGCTCATTGGGTTAAATAGGACATAGAAATGATATTTTGGTTTCAATATGAGTTGCTTATGTGCAAGCATAAAATAAAAGTGAAACGAAATCATCCCATATTGCTGCAAATTGATCTGAGTCAATATGAAGTGCTGACCTTGTCCATAAATCAATAATTTCTTCTCCCTTTTTCAAAATACAGATCAAGTGACCTTAAAAGAAACACATCTCTGATGATGAAAAATAAAAACGTTTCTAGTTTTTATTAAAATGGCCCTACCTTCAAACAAATCTTCCTTTGTTTCACTTTCTATCTTCTCACTTTTATTTTAGCCGTGTTTGCAATTAAACTTGATGTTTAAATTCTAGCCTGAATAACACCAGACAATGAAAGAAATGATGTGAAGAAACCAGTTGAAAATGTATATTTGCTCATAGTTTTGTACATGTATGCGCTCAGTTACAGATCAAATGGTGAGCTGAGGTCAGCCCTTATGAGGCACGAGTGTGGATTAATGTGCCCAGCATGATTATTTCATTTATTACTGTCCTGGACCTTTTCAGATTAACCATTTTTTTCAGGTCGTCATCCATTAGCACCTTCAGTTCATTCAGAGCTCCATTTAAAGGGCCAGAGCCGTCTCTGTGTCTTATGGAAGACTGAGCAGAGGCAGCTTTAAAATGGGTAAACCGATTTATTTTAAATAAAATGTTACAGAATATACGTATATATATATATATACGTATTTATATATCAAAGTTCATGCTCAATAATCCAGGTAAAAAAAAAAAAATCCAACAATGTTCAGTCAGGTCATCTGGACAGTTTCTTTGTATTTTATTATTTTTATTTTACATGTTTCA